TAACCAGCCTAAACCCCCAACCTACTTGGAGGATCATGGGACTTAGTAGCTAAGGTTATAAGTCCCTTAATTGGGGTTATAAGTATAGTTTCATCCTAATTATAACCCCAATTACTAAGTTTCATGATCCTCTAAGTAAACCTAAACCCAAACCACCGTAAACGCTAAACCGTAAATCCAACACCACCTTACACCCTGGACCACAAACCCAAGCCATCTTGAACCCTAGATTCTACATTCCAAACCCAAACCACCTTAAACCCTAAACCCCCTAAACCCAAAGCGCCTTAAACAAATCTTGAACCGTTGCGGCAAGACTACATTTGGAGCTGGTGCATGCTTCTTCCTGAGCTGCTTAGAGCTTTCCTCGCCTTTCCAGGCCGAATATGGGAGGCCCTGGTACTTAAACTATGGTTTTGGGCTGTAATACCAAATAATGATGATAGTGGCCACAACTAATAGTCCCTGTTCAAACTATTGTATCAGGCTCATAGCACGGTACATAGGCTACTGTCTAAATGATTTTGCTTGAACGTGGCCGAAATGCTGTGTACGCTCGGGCCCTGCTTCGTTTGTAGGACGCACAGTATTGGTTGGCTCAACCGTACTGTCAACATATGCAATATGAGACTAGCGCAGGCTTGTATAGCAGTCTTCTGCACAGAGTTTCTAGTTGGAATATGCCGAGTTATAAAGGCAGCAACGTGGCATGCGCGGCCTAATGTTCGTGTCTGCTGCAGTCCTGCGTTCTTCGGTTAAAGCATTGAGATATTCTGTTTCGATTCAAGATTGAAACCGCGCAGTCGTCAGAGTCATGCAGCTAAGTGATGAATCGAGCTGTTCGTGGCCTTTTACGTCATGTTCGAAAACGAGGAAGTCCTGGAAGCCTGGGGGCACGAAGACATCAGAGGAGCCCAGGTTTCTAGGCCCGAAACCCTAAACCCATGAGGTCCCCGGCCCTCCATCTGACATCGATAGCCTAGCAGCTGCCCAGCAGCTCGACCTAGCCGGGCAGGTCAAGGTTTAGTAATTTAGGATATTGAGAGAGTTTAACTTAGGGTTTAGGTTTGAGCTTTTTTTGGCTTGGGGTCTAGAGTCTGGGCTTTTCAGGTTAAAAAGGGCTTTCGCAATTCCTCCTTCTGCTTCAGCCAGTCTTCGCTCTCCCTCTTACGAGGCCACTGCTCTTCCGCCGTGTGAAGCGCCAAGCTTCGGGCGGATCGTGTCGTCACCGAAGTACGTCCAGGGAACTTCATAGTTAAGTCCCAGGACATCCTGGCGGAACCCATGCAGAGAAGTGCACACGAGCACCATTGCATACTGGCAAGATCCTGAACCTGCACCTCGATCTCAGAAACCTTCTCATCTCCCCGTGTCTCGGTCTACGAGAACACTCCGCCCCACAGCAGTAAAGCTTCAACCTGCGCATACTTCACACTGCAGGCTTTGGGTGTCCTTCGGATCGAAGGATGCATCGCGCCTGTTGGTGAGCAACACCTGCAAGGGTACTACAAGAAGTTTGGATTTAGTGACCTCTGACGCTTCGGAGATAGGGCCGCGCGAGTTTATGCATCAGCGCCCTGTCTCGGCTGCCAGGAGGCTACAGACTCCACAGCGCCTCAACCAACTCCTCGTTGCAGAGTGGGCAGCGGGTCTCCTGCAAGGACCACTGTAACCGTCAAAGCGAACCGTGACAACACCCAGTGGCGTGCTGAAATGGCAAGTGTGCAATCACAGAGCGCTTGTTGAACTAAAACAGGGATTCGCGAGGAAGCGCGAACATGGTTTGATCCGGAACATGTGAGACGCCTTGGGCGTTTGCAGCAACGGATGGGCAAGGACGGGAAAATCCACGAACGGAGCCGGACAGGTACTGATGTGGGCATAAGGAACTACGGCAATGTCCTTGGACTTCCTGTGAGCTTGGGACTGCTGCAGGATGCAGCTTCGGTAAGCTAGCATCTACCCTCTTGTGGCAGCATGTCAAGCCAAACCACCAGGGACAAGGGTCCCATTCAACTATACAGCGTGAGACTGTGGCTGAGCGAAAACTAATCTGAAGTTACTGAAGTTGTAAGTCTGGCAGTCGCCCCTGCAGGATCTTGAGATCCAAGTCGGCTTGTGGACAAAGTCTCACTGCAGGGCGCAGCATGCCCGCTGCTGTGGCTTAGCCGGAAGCCTTGCTGCCAGGTTTGCAGCGTGTATGGCCTCCTTACTCCAGTCCACTTCTAACCTTCCTGAAAGATGGCCTGTTGCGAACGAGCAATTCCTGTTCACAATAGGCTTGTCGAAATCCAAGCGAAAGCGCTGCCCAGACAGAGTGTGGGAAGAGTCGTATCCGGGAAAGCGCAAACCTACGGAACCTAGCCTGATGTTCTTGTTGTACAGGACAAGAATCACAGAACAGCTGTTCAACTCGTCCTGGCACGTTGCTGCGGGCCGCAAGACAGGCAGCTCATCCACCCTCCATGTTGGCTCACGCATCTGCCTCACTGCACTTTCATATCTCGCGGTGTTCAGCTCCAGCGGTGTTACGATGAAGAGCACACGGAACTTTGCTCCTTGTCCAGAGTTCACTCCTCGTGCTTTTAGCTGGGTCACCTGCACAGCCGGAAATTTGTCGGGCGAGAGCTGCTTCTGGAAAAGCTGCCCGAGAGAAGCAGGCGCTTCCACTTTAAAACGTGCAAAGACCGGCTTGTGATCGCTGGTGGTCACCTCCGCTGGTGACGCCAATTCCTGCTGCGTAACACAGCCTTCTAAGGAATCCAAGGATTTCCAGAGAATGCGATCACAGTAAGAAGGAGTTCTTTCCTCTTGGTGCTTTGTGCCACTGGCTCTTTCAACCTTGAAGGTGGGAGGGAAGCTCGGGTTGCCCTCCCGGAATCCCACGAAGGCCTTCCCTGCTTGCCGGTAGAGCCTGAGCTGGTCATGGCGCATCAGCTCATCATAGAGCTGCCCCTCCACCATGTCCAGGATGGCACTGAAGTGATCGGGCCTGAAGCACAGACAGCGACACAAATCAGAAAACAGAGAATCGGGGCTTCGGAGGATGCTTTTGAAACCCGACGGAGGAAGCTAAGAGAACACCGAAAGTTATCTGCGGATTCATGTCATGACCAATGCCTCGACGTCCTGGGCGCGAGACTAGACTACACGGCAGACTCGAGGTGCGCAAAACTCAAACTCCCGAACTCTTAGCAGTGTTACCAGTGCGAGAGCACCCCGGGTTTTCTTCTTGACATGTATACAGATATCTGGAGGTGCTGGTGTCAAGACGAGGCACCTGGAGGGGTTTGAAGGAGCCGACAAGGTGGAAGGCCCAGTCGGAATCTCCTTACCCGAGCTGGGCTTTGCCTTGCCCAAAGCAACCGTTGGGAGGTCTCTGAGGTCAGACATGGCCAGGTCAAGCCTATAGTTCAGATCCCCAAACCAAAAGCAGTGGTCGAACTCGCAGGAGAGATCCAAGTCGGGATGACATACTGGCCATGTCTCCTGCAGTATCTCCCGGCAGTCGCTGTTGCGCTTTTCTCCTGCGCTGAGGTGGGCAGCTAGGTGGCAGCTTACGAAGCACAGCCGGGTCGGCCCAAATTGCAACGTCACCACAAGACCGCCCTTGTTCCCGACAGTGCCGGCCATCAACCCTGTTGCGGAGTATGTTTGCTGCACGGAGTGCACCAGGGGGCCACCACACCACTCGAAGGTGCCATCACAGTACTCCGTCCGAGCAAAAACGAGGAGGCGCATGCTCATGAGGACCACCTGCTGTACCCTTGTAAATCCATCCCCAAGCCTTTCTGCCAGGATGTCATCCCAATGGAAAGTGAAGGCTTCCTCCCGGACATCCCGGACTCGCCGCTCAGGGCTCTTGTCGCTGGAGCGGGGACTACTACCCAAAGTGTGCCAGGCCTCTTCCACGGCCCCGGAGAGCATCGGAAGCTGAACCTTCCCACTGCCTTTCAAGGACTTCCGGCGTTTCGGGTTGCGAGACGGGCTGCTGCCCGGATCATAGCTGCACTCCTGAACTCCAACAGCTACGAGATCATAGTCGCCTCCCTTCTTCGGCAGCCAGTGCTCTAGTTCCTCCTCAGCTGGCTTGGCATCACCCATATTCCACGTGAAGCACAAGATCTTCATGGATTGCCAGGGTTGTGGGCCAGGTGCATCCTCCTTCGGTACAAGGACATTTACATCCTCTGGCACCACATCCACATCCGTAGGAACAGATGCCACAGTCATGAGATGTCGTGCGGCTTTAAGTTGGCCAGAGACTCGGGACTAAGGAAACACCTTTGCATCTGTGATATCTGTTCGTGCAAAAATGATACTGCGAGCGGGTTTGGGTATTTTCTGTACGCTTCCAGGGTGTTCGAAAACGTTTCCGTTCTATGAAGGAAGGCCCCTGAGTCAATTCTCACCTTCCCTAACTTCCCTACTCTTCTGGGCACATTCCTCCTCAGCCAGCTTCGGATGGCACTCACATGCACACATCCTGCGATCCGTGCATGCTGACAGCTGCATCTACTCTGAGGTAACGGGATGCTACAGATGGTCTTTTAGCACCCTAGTGCCATTATAAAAGTAGCCCTTATCACCCGAACTGTACCTTGATAGTACGGTTGTAGTAACCCTAATCGTCATAACCCCAATAGTACCCCCATAAGTGCACTTCTTGAAATCCGCACAGTAGCCCTAATAACTGCTCTTGCTCATCGCTTTTTCTGTCCCCACTAGTAACACTATAAGTACTCTACCGTAAACTTACTGGTACCCTCATAAGTGCTCTTGGCATGTCATATCGTCTTAAACCTACATAGGTGTCAAGGAGGGCCGCCTGGTTCAGAACACGCAGCCGAAGGGTGCAAATCCAACAGACTGGATGCCTCGAGCAGATCCGAAAAGGATTGCGGATTTGGGGGCGTTGGGCCGTAATACGCCTTACGAGTAATAATTAGAACAGAAGTGTAGTAGTAGTAGTAGTAGTAGTAGTAGTAGTAGTAGTTGTTGTTGCTGTCGTAGTAGTGTTAGCAGAAGTCGTCATCGTCGTCGTCGTCGTAGTAGTGGTCGTAGTAGTAGCAATAGTACGGATAACAATCGTATACGATAGTAATCGCTTAGAGTTACCATCGATCATCTATGTAAGTGTTGTCCAGGGGCCGTAATGATTAGAATAAGGCTCCTTGAAAGGATTGGTACTCTAATCAAGGGGGTTGAGGCCTTAATGATGTTGAACGGATTTTGGGGTATGTTATCTTATGTAATGACAGTATCCGCATCGTCGCATCGTTAATCCCTTCCCGCACTTACTAAAACCCCACTAATGATAACAACACTTTGGTGCCAAGCCTCCCGAAATCATCCCTGCCCTTTGAAACCTAACTTGCATTACTTGGAGGATCATGGGACTTAGTAAGTAAGGTTATAAGTCCCCTAATTGGGGTTATAAGTATACTTACCTTTGTTATAACCCTACTTACTAAGTCCCATGATCCTTTAAGTAGGGGGTCTGGAGCAAGAGCAGGAGTAAGAGCTTCAGCAAAAAGCAAGTGCCGGAGCGAGAGCAAGAGATGCAGCAGGAGCAGGAGCAAGATCCCTCAAACGTGACAGTAGAGATTCACACACCCCCTGATAATAAAACCACATTCCGAGTGTTGGTGGGGGGAGGGGGGGGGGGGGCGCTTAATATTAGGAGAAAGGGATGAAGCCGGGGACTATGATATGATACATTAATTGAGACCCCTAGAGTGCACACTTACTTCAACTTCGATGCAGGGGATCGGCTTTCGTGGCCCATGCCGGGATGGCCTGCACAGACCAATGCCGACGTAGGATGGCTCTTCCTGTGCGCAGCAATGTTTGAGGAACTAGAACTCCAAACGCTCCTCCCATCTTCAGCTAGTCTTGCTAGCATCCCCGACCTTCTCTAAGACAGTGACACTGTTGATGGACAAAATTCTGCATGACCCAAATATAGTATAGTACCATAAATCCCATAGTTTAGGTATATAAGGTCATGCAGGATTTTGTCCATCAACCGCAGTAATCATGCCAGTTTGAGATGTAGAGCCAGACTTCGCAAAGCAAACATGAAACTCTCTAGGACAACACCTCGGGACTTCAGGAGGGGGCTGGCCTCGCAACACAGGACGCACCGATCCATGGCACCTGTTCACAAAAATCGACGGAAGCGTGCGGACCGCTGCAGGCTGCCGTGATGAAAACTTTTGAGGGCCTGGTGCGTCACCAAGCTCAGGGAGTCTGGCCTGCGCGGCAGCTCATGCAGGGACAGGACATCGATATCAGATGATATCAGAGAGATGAGTCGGGCTGTCAGATGACATAAACTGTGTTCCAACATGCCACGCTGAAGGCGGACACCGGGGCACGGTTCCGTGGGAAAGTGCAAAAATAGATCTGAGCTGCCAGGGCTGGGACCCGGGGTGGTTCTCCGAGCATGCGAGGCCGTCGACGATTTCCTCGACTGGACTTGCTATTGGCTGTTGTGCACATTCCCATACCGACGACTTCGCTCTGCACCCGCCTTGATTCGACTTCTGGTTCTGTCCTGTAAACCGGCGTGGGCTTGAGCTGCTGCACCCTAAACTCCTAATAGCGGCTCTCATGTCTTACGCGCACTCCGCGTCCCTTGAGAATGACGCCGGGTCCTCGCTGGCCCCCATTCTGGCTCTCCCCCTGGCCACCTCGCAGAGCAGAGGCTTAACCAGTCGTCTTGACCGGGACATCCGCGAAATGGCTGAAACAAGGACTTCTCCCCCCCTTTTCTGGCCTTTCCCGCGGTTGCGGCCACCCTGAGCCCGGGGCGAGTGAATCACAGAGCCCTTTCTTGGCAATCTGTGGCGAAGTACTGGCCTTCTGCCGAGCATTCCGCTCGCCCTTTCCTCTGCTGGCGCCTGGCGATAAGCAGCCCAGGGAACGTGCGCTCCTAATGTAGGGGCCTAAATAAGTACCAATACTATTTTGGGTGTTCCTTATTATAATTATAGAAAAATGGGCCCCAAAACCCTGTTCTCATTATTAAGGCCATTAGATGCCGGAAGGGCTCTGCGCCTTGCTCCTGGTCTTCCGGCTGCGGCTGCGAAGCGCCTTTTAGCCATCGGACTCCACACTAAAGCACAACTTGCCGAAACAAGGGCCGGCAAAGCATGACGTTGGGAAAGCAACCTGCCATAACGGGATGTTGCTTCGGAATGCTACTGAAATGGGTTCCGATGAGTGACCTTGAATGAACTTAAAGCCCATCCGTGCGCTGCATAGAGCATTGTTGCACGAACTGCAGAGATTATTTCAAGATCACCTCTCCACTGCTATTACATCTAAACTGAAAGCAAATCGCGTCTGCTTTATGTTTGCCACGGTCTTGTCGCGACGCCGCAACCAGTGTGTAACCAGGTTGGTTGGGCATTCTGCCACAGGAGGGATGGACTTCAGTGTGACCCCGAGCAAGCTACGGGCCACGCACAAATCCGACATAAGTGCAGTAGATTCAAAAGGTTCGGATCAGGTAGCACTTTGTGATTCAAGGACACAGGGTTGACCGGCGATCCTGTTTTCAGCAAGAGGTCACGGCCCAGGCAAGCTCTTCCAGTCAAGGGCGAGGTTGTGTTCGGGCACACAGTCTGGCCTGGGGCATCAGGTTCGCCCGCCAGCTCACCTGCATGGTAGCATGTCGTTCTTTCTGCCTTGCAGTTGCAGGTCCTGTTCCCAACATTTCTAGCTATGTGGAAATCTCCGATGAGAGCTCTCAAATGCAACAAACCATCGCAATGCACTTCGCGAATTCCCCGGAGAGGGCGTGACGTGCTACACATGGAACTCGCCGATGCAGCAAGCCTCCGTCGTCCATTGGGCTTTCGAAAGAAGCGAAAATTGTGAAAAAAAACCTACAGGCTAGAGAGTGTGGGGATGCTAATGGACTTGTGCCGCATGGCGACGAGCTAAGTAATTAGGTAGTTCGCGGACTCGCGTTGCTAGGCCATCCCATGCTGTCCTCCGTGTCTCTGAGTGCAAGAGATCAAGGTGGCTACAAACCCCGAATTCTGATGAGTTGGATAGACTCAATAATTACTGCGTTCTCAAAGCTTGATCACGCAGCGCCCATGCAACGTCGAGACAACACAAGTCGCACAATCGCATGGATGAGTGCCTGATTAAAAGAACATGTCATGTAGCTTGCCAGGGATTGCTGAAAGAGCTTCATATCCATCCTTTGCCATGGCGTCTTGATTATACGGGTGCCCGAACTCTCCAAGCTCAAACAGAGCCTTGATCAAAATATCGGTGGAGTGGCAGCTGCAAGGCCCTTTCACGAAGCACTAGTCACTAGTCGCTAGTCACTAGTACCAGTACTGCTCACACTTATTAGATCTTACCAGGCTCCTGTTTGCAGAAGAGCCTATAGCTTGCAGTCCAAACGCCTGTTAAATAAAAACTAAGCAGAGGCCACTTTTTCGTTGCGTCATCAGCGTCTTGCGCAAGGAGTCCACTCGACCCAGCCCTGGCTGCGGCGCGACGGCCGGCTGCGGCTTGCATGGCATTTTGCTCACAGGCCTGGGACGAAGGCCGTCGCTGCAAGGTGAACTGTCAGGGCGACAAGGTGATCCAACGGGTTACCTTATTGGGTTTTAAGCGTAACAGTTAGGATACAATTTAAGGATAGGTACTGATCAGACTATCAGGAGGGTCACTGCAAGGGTTACTATAAGGGTAGTATTAATAGTATTACGTTGAACTAAGGGGAGGGGCACGAGGACTACAATGGTATGTTAAAGTACACTTACAGTATCTGGCTAGCCAGATTCTCCGCAAAAGTGTCCCTGGTGAGTGCTAGCAACTGCTCTCGCACAAGCATTGCTGATGTTGCAATGACCGGGATACTGCTGAGGTCACCCCACTGTGTACGACTGCTGGCAGCTCGAAAATTTAAATTTATACCCTAAACCGCCTAAACCCTAAACCCGGTACCACATCAAAGGCCGAAGCAATCTCCACAGCCAATGCAGCCTGCCGGGAAGGATTTGGGCACCTTACCCTAACCCCCCAGGTACCTACTATCTAGGGCCCTAGGGGCTCTAGTACCCTATATAGTAGGTACCTGGGGGGTGAGGGTTAAATCCTAAACCTGAGCCCCTGAACCCAAAACATTGCCCCAACCCCGCGCTCACCCCCTTCCCCTCTCCGGCCAAGAAAACAAACACTCACCTTTCAATCCAAGAGGAAGGGCAGAGGCAAAAGGAGGCTTGGATAAGCGCATTGGGCAATGAGAGGTTGAAGAGGCTGCTTGCAAAAGGTTCTGTGGGCAGAAATCTTGGTTCTTATGTTCCCGCCGCTTCGGGTTCAAGCATGGGTGCTCTGCACATCGAATGCCCTGTGAACATGGACGGTGTTATGGGTTCGAGCATCTATCCCCTGAACCTTGGTAGCAGTGCGAACGTGGATCTCATCAGTGCCATCAGGTGTTCGAGCATGAATGCTCTTCACGACGGATGCTCTGGAAGCCGCAGAACAGTGTAACTGCTCTATCATGATGCTATCGTCGTCGAAATCTCCCAAACATCATCGTCATCACCAGCTCATGGCACGATTCTCACGATCATCTTCATCAAAAATGGTAAAACCCTCATCTTCGTCATCTCCACATTGCTATCGTCTTCATCGTCACGAGGGTGGTCTTCATTGCTGGGACCAGGGCTCGGTGAGAGTTCTCCTCAAGCATTGTATTGCAGATTCATTGTCAGATTGTACACTTTATGTTATAAATCACACTATATAATATATTGAATATGTTTTATACTGCATATACATTAAAATTTAAACCATGCATAGTACAGCAGCTAATAGAGTGTGTTGCTTGAGCCCTGCCTTTGCTGCCTGCAGGCGGTGCACTTTGGCCTGCTGAACGCGAATCACCTCCAAGCAGGAGAACAGTAAGGCTACGTTGACATAGAAATGTGACAGGATGCAAAGGCGCAGTGTATGCATGCCATATGTACGCCGTAGGTATGTCAATCGCCCATCTCTATCTATCAAGACGGCAACCTCCAATCCACCGTTTTCGGTCCACCCGCAGAGGAAAAGGAAACGGCTCCAAGGACGGGACTTGCTCCTGCTCCGCAAAGAGCTCTCGACCTCCGAGATTAGCATAGGGAGTGAGGTTTGGGAGAAGGGTATTTAGCTTACAACGTAGCAAGAAATAGGGATGTTGACTTTTGCAGGACCCTCATCCAGAGACCGTAAACCTGGTCCCTATGCCCATACTGACTTCCCAAACTCCCTAAACCCTGCGTACTTCAGTCCCTAAATGTCATCAGGAGTAGTCAGCGTGACCCGTTTAATTCAACTGCAAACTCTCGCTGGCGATAACCACAATCATCATCGTCGTCTCCTCGTCGGCAGCATGGTCATGACTCATCACCATTGGCTGATGTTTCCGGACTGCTGCGTATGATGACGACTCTGACTGTGGGCGCAGTGATGACCACCATGAAGCTTCCCGTTGCCACCGCGAGTCGCGCGAAGTAATCGTAGCTTTTGCGCTGCGCAAATACCGTATCTGCCTTGGTATTTGTAGCAGCCACATGCAATCTGTAGTAGCATCGTCTCAGTCTCGGCATGGGCCAAGGCCGGATACCGACTCAGCAGCAGACGCGGACGGTTTCGGGCAATAGACAGAGCCTCAGCGTTTCCACCAACCTGCTGCCAATGTCAGAATGCACGATGTGCACCAAACTCCCAATATCGTCGCAACACGCCCCAGTTGAAAGTCAAGCCGACCAAAGAGCAGCATCTCCGCCCCTTTCTCTGCAAATTGGTGCGAGTATTGGGCCTGTTCTATCAAGCAGGACACAGTCTTGATGACAACATCCATCAACCTGATGCTTCAAGAACCACCTCCAAAGACTTAACATGGACTCGGTGCAATCGGCAGAAGGTACGGGAGGATGCTGTAGATTCGGGTTCTTGGACCATGCCAGAGTAATGGTCTGACATGAACGTCTTGTCGCACTGTCCAAATCCTCGCGCCACGTGGCAGCTATTCATCCACGCAGATGTCGCGCCCCCTTGAAGCTAATAAGCGAGGTTGCACTCATCAATCAGCTCGCCACATCTCGCTACCAACCTCCGTGACTGGAACTCCAAAAGATGGAGCCGCGTATGCTTGACATCAGTCACCAAAGATCAAGGCCACAAGCCATCTTTCCAGGCCCCTTGTCAAAGATCTGTTTCGGCACGGGACCTGTATAGCCGTAAACTGGCAGTCTGCCCACACATTTCTCTCATGCGAGCCACCCAGCCTACCACCTCCTTTGCACGAAGCACGGCAGCAGCTGTAAAGCCGCTGCTAGGACAACCGACACAGAATGCCGACACAACTACACCAAGAGTCCTGAGGTTTCTGGACGAGAGCCCATCGAGTGAAGACCCCAAGGAGCTGCAAAGATGGCGAAGCGTCCGGCGCCCGCTCCGGGGCTCCTCGCTGAAGTTTGGACAGCGCCATGTGGGGCATGTGGATTCCTGCCCCCCTGTCTTGCTCCTTTGCAAGTACTTGGAGGTTCATGGGTAGCTATAAGTGGGGTTATAAGTAGGGTAACTATAATTATAACCCAAATTAGGGGACTTATAACCCTAGCTATAACTACCCATGAACCTCCAAGTGCATCTCCCATCCAGAACCATCCTTCTAACAGCCAGCAGCTAGACTCGCCATGTTCACTGCACCTCCTGGGCCCTGGCGTTGCGTTGCGAAGCCGAGGTCGGCTGAATTCTGGCGCGAACAGGGAGGCTTTTGGCACAGACATGCCAGACATGATGTTCAAAACCTTACATATGGCCAAGGAAGTCCAGCGTCTGCAGCATTCCATCAACGATGTAGCTCAGCTGGTTTGCTATCTCTGGATCTACCTGCATCTGTCACCATCACGTGGAAGTACCTCAGCCACGTTGACCCTCCGTGCATTCAACAGTACGTGGCGACCCGAGGAATTTCCTTCCCGTTCATCTTCATGGTGCATTTCGGAGCAAATGAACTCGATTG